TATTTCTCATCAACCTGATATTATATCTTTAATGAAATAAAGCTAGCACCTTTTCCTAGCTTCCTGGCATTTTAATAATTAAATATGTTTCAATATTTAGGTCCCAGCCATAAACACCTTAGAATCATGTCTCTGTAATGGCTATTAAGTCACGTACATCTGTTGTTGTAGGTGCCATCTGTTAATCCATTTTGTTACAAATGCTGCATGCATTCAGATACAGAATCATCAACTCTGCCTTTTTATTATAGGGCCTTTTATCCTATGGCCTTATCTGCCAGTACATTTTTACGTTTGTACAGTCTGTCCCTATGTACCAAGATCTCATTATCGTTACTCTGATTTATTGCCTGTTGTTTTCCACTGACTTACTACATCTCTTCATACATACCCCCTTCACCCCACTATTCAGTTTAAAGACCTCTCTACTTCCCTTGTTAAATGACTCATCAGAACACTGGTCTCAGCCTGGTTCAGATGGAGATCATCCTATTGGGACAGTTCTAATTTTACCCAAACTAGTGCCCATGAAATGAAACCAGTGTCCCATGAATCAAAGCCCATTTCGTTAACACCGGTCTTTCTTACTTATCCTGTGCAAATGTGCTAGTGCCTCAGGTAATTTGAATTTTTGCTTTTTATTTTAGACCCTGGCTGATCATACTCCCTTTGTAGAAGCTATTTGCTACCTATGTTATCACATGGACCATGACAAATGGACCCTACCTCTCCCGTTGCAAATTCCTCTCCAATCCTGACCAGATGTCTCAAGCACTGGTACTGGCAAGAAACTTCTTCTGGGCTCACTCTCTAGGCTGCAAAGAATTGTGTCTTCCTGAAGCAAAGACCTGAACCATCCCCACCCACCACCACTCTCCTCCGCTTGGCCGAGCTTGTCCTCACCCTCAACAACTTCTCTTTCAACTCCTCTCATTTTCTTCAGGTAAGAGGGGTTGCCATGGGTACCCGCATGGGCCCTAGTTGTGCCTGTCTCTTTGTGGGGTATGTGGAACATTCCTTGTTCCAGTCCTATTTCGGCCCCCACCCACAACTCTTTCTCCGATACATCGATGATATCATCGGTGCTGCTTCCCTCTCTCGTCTGGGATTGGAAAACTTCAACAATTTCGCCTCCAATTTCCATCCTGCCTTCACTTTCACCTGGTCTATCTCTGACTCCTCCCTTCCCTTCCTCGACATTTCTGTTTCCATTTCTGGGGATAGACTGGCCACTAATATCCATTACAAACCCACTGACTCCCACAGCTACCTGGACTATACATCCTCACACCCCACTTCCTGTAAAGACCCCATCCCATTCTCTCAGTTCCTCCATCTCAGTTGCATATGTTCAGATGAGGTCAACTTTGAGAAGGGAGCCTCCAAAATGAACACATTCTTCCTCAACCGAGGATTCCCCAGCTCCGTTGTCGACAGGGCCCTCAATTGGGTCCGACCCATCTCCCGTACTTCTGCCCTCACCCCTTCTCTTCCCTCCTGCAACAGCGATAGGGTTCCCCTTATCCTTACCTACCATCCCACCAGCATCCACATCCGGAAGATCATCAGATGCCATTTCCGCCACCTCCAGTCAGATGCCACCACCAGACACATATTCCCCTCCCCACCCTTGTCCGCCTTCCGCAGGGGCTGTTCCCTCTGGGACACCCTGGTCCACACTTCCTTCACCCACAACACCTCCCCACAGCCCTACGGCACCTTCCCCTGGAACCGGCGAAGGTGCAACACCTGTCCATTTACCTCCTCCCTCCCCTGTATCCAAGGGCCCAAACATACCTTCCAGGTGAAGCAACACTTCACCTGCACTTCCAAGAATCTAGTCTACTGCATTCGGTGCTCACAATGTGGTCTCCTCTACAGTGGGGAAAGGAACCGTAGACTTGGCGACCGCTTTGCAGAACATCTACGTTCTGCTCACAAAAAAGACCCTGAACTATCTGATGAAGGGTCTAGGCCCGAAACGTCAGCCTCTCTGCTCCTATGATGCTGCTTGGCCTGCTGTGTTCATCCAGCCCTGCACCTTGTTGTCTCGGATTCACCAGCATCTGCAGTTCCTACTATCCCTGAACTATCTGTTGCCTACCACTTCAATGCACCACCCTGCTCCCTGGCCAACATCTCTGTCTCGGCTTGCTGCAGTGTTCCAGTGAAGCCCAATACAAGCTGAAGGAACAACACCTCATTTTCCGCTTGGGGACCCTACAGCTCTCCGGACTCAATATTGAGTTCAATAATTTTAGGGCCTAAACTCTCCCATGTCCCAGCCCCTACCCCACACACCAGGCTTTGTAACCACATAGTCTGCCATTACACACCCCCTGTTGTTAGTCACTAACAGTCCCCATTAACAACTACTCACCCTCCCAGTCTGATCGTTAGCAACTCCTTTGTCTGTCCAACTGTCTTTCTCTCTCTTTGGGCTCTATCCTATCGTTTACTCCCTACCCCACCAACCTCCCTATTTTCTGCATATAAACTGATGTTTTCCCAGCCACTATCAGTTCTGAAGGAAGGGTCACCAGACCCGAAACGTTCACTCTGTTTACTCCTTCACAGACCTGCTGAGCTTTTCCAGCAACTTTGTTTTTGTTCCTGATTTACAGCATCCGCAGTTCTTTTGGTTTTTAAAGAATTGTGTCTACCCAACTGACTGTACAACATTTACATTCCTAATAACTCCAATAAAATATTTTCTTAAATAAAGGGACCAAAAGTGCTCACAGTGCTCCAGATGTTGTCTCACTAGCACCTTGTACAGCTGCAGGAACACACTAACCCCCTTGAAGTAAGGGCCCACATTGCATTAGCCTTACCAAATATCTGCTGGACCTGTGTGCTAGCTTTCTGTGTACAGCCCCAATTCCTTTTGTGTTGCAGCTTTTGCTGTTTTTCTCCATTAAATAATACTACATTCTTTTCTTCTCCCTTCCAAAATGAGAAGCTGCACATTTCCCACATTGTACTCTATTTTCCAACTTTTTGCCTGCTTACTCAACCTATCAATATCTCCCTGTAAACTGTTTATATTCCTCTTGCGATTTGCCTTTCCACATACTTTTGTGTCATGGAGAGAATGTAGCAGCTGAGGTTATTCTTAGAACAGAGAAAGTTAAGGGGAAATTTAATAGGTTTTCAAAATCATGGAGGATTTTGATAAAGTTAATCAGGAGAAAACGTTTCTACTGGCAGGAAGATCAGTAACCAGAGGACACAGATTTAAGAAAATTAGCAAAAGAAACAAATGGAACATGAGGAGAATTGTTTTCATGGGGTTGTGGTGAACTGGAATGCTTTGGCTGAAAGGAACATGAAAGTAAATTCAGTCGGCGTTTTCAAAAAGGGATTTAAATAAATGTGTGATGGGAAAGAGTATGGGCGTAAAACTAAGTGCAGAGCTCTATCAAAGACCTGGGAAAGGTATGAATGGCTAAATGGCCTCCCTCTGTGTTATATGATTTTAAGGTTTTCATTTCCCTGATCATTTCTGAATTTTAACTCTATATTCTGAATGCTAAGAAGTGAACAATGATGGAAGAGGCAGATGTGGTTCACAATGGGAGTTGAGGTCAATTCAGGAAATAAAGGAGGTATTTGTTCTTATAGAATCCTCTGATGGGGTGGCACCGTGACTCAGTGGTGAGCAATGCCAGGGGCACAGGTTTGATTCCAGCCTTGGGTGACTGTGTGCAGTTTGCATGGTCTCCTCGTTTCCTCCCACAGTCATATGTAGGTTAGGTGGATTGGCCATGCTAAATTGCCCTGTAGTGTCCAGGGATGTGCACACTAAGTGGATTATCCATTAGAAATGCAGGGTTACAGGGATTGGTGGTTCTGGTTGAGATGCTCGTTGAAGGGTTGCAGCAGACCCAATGGGCTGAATGGCCTCTATCTGCACAGAATGGATTCTATGATTCAAACACAAAATATACCACTTAATATCTTTTGTCTTAGTGAATCATGACTGTATGAAGAAGTTTGGTCTGACAATTTGAAACATAAACAGAAAGTACAAGATACCTAATCCATGGCAGTTCTGTGTTGCCATAAATGTTTGTTAGGAACCTGACTTCCAACAATTGTATAAGATATTTGGCCCAGTGAGTGAAAGGGTAGCACTCTATCTGGAAATGCCTACAGAACTGCAAAATTTAACACCAGGGCACGACAGGCAGATTTTGCCTCAGGCTCAGTCTGAAAGCAACGACAAATTCACAGCCCTGCCGGTGGAGCCCTCCCAACTGAAGGAGAAGGTAGTAAAGGGAGGACAATAAAAAAAATCAGTGTAACTCAATGTATCCCCAGCTAAAGCCCCCAACAAAGTATTAGCATTAAGTCCAGAAAGGTTCTGTCATAATCCCTACATGGCCTGTTCCAAGTGCAGGGACCACAGCTGGGCATCACAAGTAACTTCCGTAACTCTGGTTTCAGGGATGAATCATTCAGGGATTTCACATTTTGCTATCCTGTTGGGAAATGTGTATATAGGAGAATGTGTTTCTACACAAGTGTATGAGAGTCCATTTGTCCATGTGTGTCTGTGCATGGCAGAGTAATTACTGCTTGTTTTTTATTTTCCGTGCTGGTACTCAGCAGGAATTCACAGAGACTGACTGCCCATTGGGACAAGTTACCAGGAAGTTCTGGGCTCAAGGCAAAGATTGTATCCTTAAGAATCGAGGAAAGCAGGAAGAAGCAAGAGAATAATTTTTAGTCCTGATAATGGTCAGTGACCTAGGGAGGTTAAGTGAGGGTGGTGATCAGCCCAGGCCTACTAACGCTGTAAATGCTGTGTAAGGTGGGGGAAACTCAATAAAACATTGAAAGTTCTTGAAGAGAAAAACCCATTACTGCAGCATGTTGTCAGCTGTGTCAATTCAAACCTTCCAATAGAGAGAGTCAGAACTACACAGAATAATGTTGTGCCTGCACACAATCAGAAACACTAGTCAAATGTTGAAAAGGAGGGAATGTTAAAGCACCTTTGCATTTTTCACAACAACCTCCTCGCTGTTTGACAACAAGAGCGCAGTCTTTTGGCAGTGGAGGACATTTTTCTCTTGTACATCTTACTTCTTTGTTCTGTGAGTAAAAAACAAACAGAATCATTGACAATAAACAGGACATCATATTCCCACTGGTTTATAAACTGTTACATGTATAAAAATATAATTAACAGTGCAAGGAAACTATCAAAACCAACAATTCCAATAAGAATTTCTAAAAATAAAGATTGATCTTTTCTGATTTATTGGCCTGAATTTCCTGGAAGATTCAGTACAACTATAGTGTAAGTGTAACACAGTGCCAGTATTTTCACACATCTATCACACAGAAACAGGCCATTCAGCCCAATGGGTTCATGCTGGTATTTATACTCCACATGAGTCTTCTCACAGCCCATCAGAATATTGACAGCATTTTGTTTCTTGCAAGTTAATTTGTGTATAAATGATTTAGATTAGAATTACACCAATTTCCTTGGTTATTCTCAACTTTTCCATCAAAACCATGTGCTACTTATTTGCATAACCCTGCCCACCATGCAAAAGACTAGCCCTAGTGATCTTCTACTTATTCCTGTAATGCAGATTTACTCCAAACATTTAGTCTAAAGTCAACTGATTCTGGCTTGACTAGGATTTCTGGAGTTTGATACTGATTTTCTTCATGACTGATATGAAGTTTTTGCCTTGTGAATCAACAATATACCAAACTAGAACTAGTGCCATCACTGCACCCAAAGGTTTTCAAAAGTCCCCTCCCCACTCACTCACCCAAGACCACATTTTAAGAAGTATGAAGCAACTGAATTGGGTTTGCCAGTCAGGTCTGCCCAGCTCTGCACAACGATGCAAGAGGAATGTCAGGTTCACTGCAGTTGACTGGAATTGGTTCTTGCAGTACTACAGAGAAAGGAGCTAGCTGTGTGGTGAGCTTCTGACAGACAAGCAAACAAAGTGCTGGGAGCTGTGTGGGATCCAGGTGCAGTGCCAGTGAGGTTAAAAGAAGCAGTGATAGTGGAGAGGTGCCAGAAGCAGACTGACCAGCAGTGGAACAGTTTCAATAAAATCAAAGTATGAAGTCACAGCAGCACAGATAGACAATTTGTGGCTATTTCTCTGTTGTCGCTTCTAACTAAATATTTATTTAAGTTAAGAATATAAATAAAGCTTAAAATATTGCATAATTAATATCTTAGAACTTCAAAAATAAACCTTTTCACTTGATAGAATTAAAGAGTTCTGATTGTTTGCCTGATGTGAGAATTTTTCTAGTGTATAATAAGAAGGACTAACAGTAAACGAAAAGCAAAGGTCTATACTCTGTTTTGTTGAGGTATGCTGGTGAGCTCAGGTCCATGATTAGCATATCCTGCCCGATGTGGGAAACTGCCGGTAGTCTGGATAACCATGTGTGAAGGAGCTGCCTCCGGCTTGAGCAACTAAATCTCTGGGCTTTGGAGTTTGAGCAGCAGCTTGGAGCTGTGCAGTACATTCGTGAGGCTGAGAGGTTCAGAGGTAGCACTTTTCTGGACACGGTCACCCTACATCATAAGGAATTGCAGGCACTGAGGGAATGTGTGACCACCAGACAAATGAAGGGGAGCAGGCAGATAGTGGGGGAGTCTCCCGAGTGCATCTCACCTGAAAAGTGTTTTTTCAGTCTTGGGAAATAGTGAGAGCTCTGTGGAGGTGAGCCAGAACCAAGGCCATGGCACTGTGGGTGGTCCACCTGCTTGAGGTGGTGGGTGGGGGGAGCAGGAAGAAGTGCGGAAGGGCAATAATGGTAGGAATTCATTGGTGAGAGGCCACAGATGTGGCACCAGGATGGTATGTTGCCTCCTAGGTGCCAAGGTGAAGGATGTTACGGTATGGCTGAGGAACCTTCTGAATGGGGAAGGCGAACAGCCAAAGGTCATGGTCTACATTGGGACCAGTGACACGGGACGAAGGAGAAATGATGTCCTGCAAATAGATTTTTAAAAGTTTGGTAGGGAATTGAAATGCAGGTCTTTGAAGTAGTAGTTTCTGGATTACTCCAGTGTCCCACAGCAGTGAGTATCCGAATAGAAGGATAGAGCTGATGAACGGAGAGATGGTGCAGGAGGGAAGGTTTCAGGCTCCTGAGGCATTGGGATCATTTCTAGGGGTGGTGTGATCTGTACAAATTGGATTTGAACTGAAACAGCTACAACATCCTTGAGGGGAGGTTTGCTCATGCTGTAAGGGGGATGGGATGCTGATAAGTAGTTCAGAGGGGAGAGAAACAACAAGGAATTAGAAGTTAAAACTTTGGAAAGCAGAGGAAACATATGCTAGATAAGGAAGCAATGAGTTCAGCAAAGTGAAGCGGGATATATTTTAATGCAAGGAGCATAAGAAATTAGAGAAATGAGCTGAAGGCACAGTTAAACATGCAAGAGCATGATAACACAGCTATGACCACATAGGGGGATGATCACAAAGTTTGCAGATAGCATGAACATTAGTAGAGAGGAGGTTAGCCATAAACTGCTGAAAGGTATAAACAGATTGATCAAGTAGGCAGAGCAGTGGAAAATGGAAGTCAACCCAGAGAAATGTGACTTAATGCACTTGGGGAGGGCTATTGGGGCAAGGGATTACACTGTGAATAATAGGGGCCTGGGAAGGACTGAAGATGACAGAGGCCTTGGTGTGCATACACACAGACCCCTGAAGGTAGCAGGACAGGTAGATAATAGGATTAAGAAGGCATCTGGGATACTTGTCTTCATTAGCATAGATTACAAGAGCACCAAGGCTACGTTGGAACTGTATGAAATGCTGGGTAGACCACAAGTGGAATATGCTGTGCAGTCTGGTCACTACATTTCAGAAAGGACGTGACAGTTTTTGACTGAGTGCGCAGAAGATTTTACAGGAGGCTGCCTGGGCTGGAGGGTCTGAACTGAGGAAAGATTGATTAGGCTGGAGTTGCATTGTTTAGAGCAGTGAGGGGTGAGAGGCAATCTGATGGAGATGTATAAGATTACGCGGGGCTAAGGTAAGGTGGATAAGATGGCATGTTTTCATTAGAAGGGGTATCAATGACCAAAGGACATAGATTTGAGGTAAGAGATAAAAGGCTGAGAGGAGAGTTGAGCAGAATTATTTTTAAACCTAGAAGATAGCAGAGTCTGGAACTCAGTGCCTGAAAAGGTGGTCGAGTGAGAAACTCTCATAACATTTAAGCAGTATTTAGATATTCACTGGTATTGTCAAAATGTCCAAGGCAACAGGCCAAGAGCTGGAAAATTGGATTAGCATAGTCAGATCTTTGTTCATTGGCATGGACACAATTGGCTGAATGGCCTCATTCTATGCTGTAAACATCTATATGTCTATGAGGAAAAGGAGGATATATAGCAATGGATGCTGAGAGTGAGATGCCAGGCTAGTGACTCCAGTCAACTCACTATTGTTCCTACAGATAGAACATAAGAACATAAGAACTAGGAGCAGGAGTAGGCCGTCCAGCCCTTCGAGCCTGCTCTGCCATTCATGGCAGTACATTTGCAATTATTATACTCCAGCATATTCCATGGCATAATAGCGGGGCTTAAAGAGTTAAATCACATGGAAATCTAGGACTCTCATTTTCTCTGGATCCTGGGGGTCAATTCATGATGCACTGTTTTCCATGTTGGTTTCTCAACAAAGAGGTGAAGGCAGAATAAGTTCTTTAAGTTCCAAGAATGGTCAAGTGTAACTTTCTCCACTGTCCGATGTATGAAGTATAAAACCCGCATTGATATTTTTTATTGCTAGTGTTTAAGACATCTGCAGTCGAGTTAATAAATTTCAACTCTGGTCTGCCATAAACCACGATAGAAGGTTGAACCAAATTCCTTTGCGATGGCATAAACCTATATTTAGGTTTGCAATTCTGCATTCTATCTTTCGTGAAATCAATAAAATTTGAGTAACATCTGTGTCAAATTCAGTTAATGAAGTGGTCATGAGAGAGACGGAATTCAATAATTATATGTTATACAGCAAGCTCCAATCACATGTTTCATCAATGCAAAACCAATGATTAATGTAATAATGAGCCATGCTGCAGATTGAGGACTGCATATTAATACCAGATTCCTTTCCCTGTCTTATTAATGAAGGCTATCATTCATGATTCATCACTTGCTAATAAAAAAGATCGCAGTGAAGTTATTCCTTCTTGCAAACAAAAAATAACTGCCACAAGTTTGCATTGTTTGGTTCGTGACCTTTAACCTATACAGGAAATGGATTGATGATTGCTCTAAATTCATTTCTCTTAGTTAGTTAACCTCACTGCATAGTTTATTTGAGAAAATCTTTATTATGGGATTTTCTGAATAAACATAGCTGTGCTGTTGTCACTGTGCCATTTAGGCAAGGAAAGTTCTTAATTTAATTGTGACTTTGTTAAGGGTTACCCAATAACACTGAGTAGTTCCATAATTGGTTAATGAGCTATGGAAAACAAAACAGGGCATCAGGACTACCAGCTAGTGGCTCCTGTGTTGGGCAAATGTCAGGTCGTTTTTAACTATGTTGTTAAAACTACAATCTGGGCTAGTTCCACAGACAGGCAGATCTGTAGATTAACATGAATCCCTGCCTGCAAGACACAAGGGTAATAGCACTCAAGAAACGCACCCCATAAAAACAGTTCAGCAACATGCTATTTCCATGAAGGTCATGAGGATGCGGTTGTCTAGCTGCATAAGACGAGAAAAACATTTAACAACATTAGTATGGTGAAACTATTTCCTCTGGAGGGACATTCTAGATCAGTGGTGGAGGAATTGAACAATCTCAAAATGAGCACCATTGTTTAACTTCAGCATTCAGGAAATCCCTGTTGGTCACTAGGATAACATATAAAGAGGTCTTCATGTCCACTCTCTCCTGAGTCCTTACTTCAGGCATGAGGTGGGTAGCTGTGCGTAGGACAGGGTTGGGTGTGAGTATGCCATAAAACTTACTGTAGAAACAGGACATTCAGCCTAAACAATGTTTTACGATGCACACAAATCACTTTCTATCCTTCCTCATCGAACACTATCACCATATTGT